CTTATTGCACTAGTTAAGCCTCAGGATTGTACGGAAGGAGGTGACGAGGTAGCGTTTATGGATGTTCAATTGTTTTTGTTGAACACGCAAAATATCTCACTGTAGGGACATATTGAAAATCTTTTTTTCATGATGTTTGATCAATGTAGGCCAGTTATGTGTTTATCGAATTCGTTCAAACACATAATTTTTAAAGATCACATCAGATAATTGAGCTAAAAATTTCGCAGGAGCCATGACAAACAACAATTGTTCATATGGCTGTGCACTTGATTCTTCCATTTAATCAAATATTCGCCTTTCAAGCATGAGACCTGCTTCTTGCTATTTTCCCTAATTGAATAGGACTTGAGGGAGTCCAAAGACACTCTCACACAAAGCTATCGTATCAGATGAACCTATCTTATCTGTCCATTCGTTAGAAAGATTCGCTTGAAATGAAACAAGGGAATGCATTTTTTTCGGGCAATATGCAAGACTGAGGTCAGCCATGCATAGAAATATGCGTTTGCAGCATGATTCGCCATGAAATGTAACGTGCATTAACGATTGGACAAGCATGAGTATGTGCTTCCAGGTGGTATTCTGATTTTCTTGCAATAATGTACCGTATATCCACATATGTTTCTATTAGAGAAGAGCGCTTTGCAAGAACTCAAAATTTCATGGCATCACGATTTTACGATGCTAAATTCATTAATCAGAGTAGAGAATAGGAGAGGGAGGCTCACTGATAATTTAAAAGACTTGCTGGTTGTAGAGTTGGTAAATCAGCCCACTAGTGCAGGCGGTTTATTTGTTTCCGATTCATTTCGATATCGAATTGTCGCCGTGATATTACATCCGTGGTGTTTGGAGTAGCAATGACGAGTTTCCGTTCGGGCGTCAAAGATAACAACTAATGAGGATGGATTGAGACAATGAAACGTATGGATAGAAGATAATAATACAGATAAAAATTATTAGATTGGATATGGATGAGTACAAAGCGGTATCGTGGGATGAGGCTTCAATCTGCTACTATATAAACGGTACTCAGGACTAGATGAAGTTATTCAGTAGGTAATATATTAAAAGATGAGTGAGTGGAGAGTCTGTTTCAATTTTGTAGACCATGTTGTGACAGTTAGGTGTCTGATGCAACTGTTTCATAGAAGACACCTTCAATTCAAGTGTCTCTGGACTGATAGTATGCCTTGATAAGGAAGTATCGTTTAAGCTGAAAGGCTTCTTTCTACTCAGCTGAGGTTTCCTAGCCTGAGCTTACGCTAGTCATCTAGTAGGTTAGATGTCTAAGGTTCCACAAGCGCAAGAAATTGGAGAAGTTTAAGTGAGCTTGATCTGTTTCTTTGCAGAATCTGGGCTATGCCCTAGCAAAAGAGAGAAACACTGAATGAAGTTTGTGGCTAAAATCTAAAAATATTTATGCTTCTTGGACTGCGCTTCTCCAAAAGCTAGTACTGTATGTCTCGTATTTAAACTCCGCTTAGTTTTGAAAGCAAATGTGTCACACGAGGCAAACACACTCAAATTCCACATCTGAACATATTCTGCGCTCTTTTTCTGCATTCTAGAATAATTCCACAACTTAGTTGACGTATTTCAGGCTGTTGGAATTCGAATAATATTTGTAATTTTGGGTTCGTTGAGCGGACTTTTTACGTGAACAATTCATTTTCTACGTGAAAAAATGTATAGTTTGTTCTTCATCGCTCACAATTCTCAACTGAACAATGTGCTTCTTCTATTACTCATCATCGATTCAACTACGAATGTTCTCGCCCAGATTTGTCTATTGATCTATACGCTTATCATGACCAAGAAACAGGTGATGTGCATTTTTGAGCAATAATTCCGAATTATTCATGTTTGTTTATTTTGTCGACAGGAAAACAAAATTAGAAAATGTGATATTTGCTTAATATTTTCAAGATAAGGCTATTTTGCTGATGGGTTGCANTTTCCAGAAAAAGTATCGTCTTTTTGATGTGATTTTTCATAAAGAATTTAAAAACATTTTCAGTGTTTCTCAATATTCCATCCGAATCTATCAACGCTTTTCATCAATCAGATTCTCACATATTATTCATATTTCATCTCACAGCTAATCTTAAATATTCGAGTGCTGGTTCATCGTCGTTTCGTGCCCACTGAAGGCGTTTTCGCGTGCTTGAGTGTTGCCTGCAATGCCGGTTCCTTTTCTTTGCTCTTTAATTTATTTCCTTTCCTCTTGAACTTCTGTTCAGTTTTCTTTTCGAGAGCAATTTTCATCACTCTATACTAAAGTATGCCAACTTCATGTTACAATTCTCCTAAATCATCAAAAAGGCCTTCATCAATTGCATTGAAGATTTCTAAACTTTAGTTTCCGAATCGATTCAATTCACCTTGTTCGTTCATTGAATAACCCTGAAAGCATAACCGAATCTTAAGGAGACGGGAGTGTTGAGATATGAGGAGTCATGCTGATCATTTTGACAGAATTGACAAACTGATTCGTATTAAGTGGAAACGCGAAATTACAATCCGAAATCTGGAAAAATTACAACACTCTATGTTTTCTGATCGAATGAGACGTGATGTTGAAGCAACAAGTGCTTCTACGACTCATTTCCATCGAACATGAGCTGATGTTTACTGTAGACTAGCCTCACTAGAGCAGAGTAACATTGAACAATATTCCAGGAATGTATTCAATATCGCTAAATTTGATTCTATTCATAATCGAGCGTTTAACTGCAATAATCAAATTCTCCACATATGAGAACTGGTGTTCGCGTATTCCATATCTTGCGATCACAATCTGCATTGTACAAGTAATGACTGAATCTTCCACGAATTTCTTATTGCATGAAGTTTGAAAATTCAGCTCTAATATCAGAAACACAATTTTTGTCTTTATTTCAAGTTCATGAGCAAAATATATAGCAATAATGACCTTGGAATCGATTTTATTGAACGACTGAGTCGTTCAGTCAGTCGGCTAAACCTCAGCAATTACTCTTACCTCAATCATACTCCTTTTTTNTTTTTTCAGTGGGTTTTGTCAATCACACTTCTAACGGCATTTTATATCGGTTAGTTCGATATTTGCTATGTATAATTTTTAATCTCCTTCAAAGATTATTGACTTATTTCATTAAATTCACTGGAATTTGATCAATTCTGCAATTATGTGCTCTTTTCGCAAAAGATTACTTCAGCGAAAAGTTTTTCTAAGAGAGGAAAACATTCCTCCGTGAAGCCATAATGTTTTCAAAAAACATTGACCTTTTTTCAAACTTTGTCTGGTTTTTAACGGTGAACAAAATTTATGGTTTATGCAGGTACGAATACATTGACTGATATGGGATTAGTTCAAATTTTCGATTACGAGATGGAATACTGCAATTATCAAATTTCAGGCTTAATCACCTCAATATCACTGACAATATCGGTTGTGGTTTCGTATGTTATCGCGCTCGTGGTGAGTAGTTCGTTGTTTAGTTCACAAATGCAACGTATCAAACCTGTTCACAACAACAAATCAATGAGAGATTTTTTTACATGAATAAGCAAAAATTGCTCCGTGCAAACCGAGAACTTTTACAGAATAAAATTTGCATCTCTTCGGATGGCGATTGAAAATATTCTCGGTGAAGATGAACTGTTTCGTCATTGAGAGGCACAAAAGTAGATATTCAGCTTGGCCATGCGTCCACTGTGAGGGAAATTGGACAAACTGACTTCATAGGGTAATCGCGGGTGTGCGATAAAGTTTTGGCACTTCTGTGGATCTTATGTCAAGTGCTCGGTCCATAGTAGTTGTATAGAATGGTTTTTGATCACGGGCGTCTCTTGATCACTCACTGTTCAGTGGCCTGTATTCGACTTTCAAGTTCGATTCGACTGGATAAAGTTGGATAACAGTTTGATGGGGCAGATTTAAGCTCAATCGTGGCTTGGAGATCAGGTTATGTTCAAGATTAGTTGTGACTCAAGCTCTCGACTAACCGGATCACCAAACAACCAGTGGCTGAGCGATGCTTTTTCACAAAATACTCAGCTAATGAGCTATCGGTCGACTCTTTGCAGGTATTTTTGGTGCTACCAATGGTGAGTCATTGCCTCTATGAACGCCACATTCGAATGGTGAACACAACGAATGCAAAGCACACGCTCAGTGCTCGTTACCAACTCTCAACGAACGTCTCAGATGCAAAACTACTCAACAAAATCGTTCTGTTCATGTGCATCACCTCACTCACCAGTCTGTCGTTATTCTCGTTGAGCAATTACATCAACGGCGCTTATTCTGCGAGAGTCATCTACGAGTTCTTCAATTTATCAATCACGTTACAGGTAAACATTGTATCGAGCCTTNTAGCGTTCGAGATTGTATGAGATTCATTGGAAGCAGATTTTGTGGGTACATCTACAATGCCTGTAGGTGTAGCATTCATGCTCTCAACAATGCTAACCAAAAAATCATAATACAACATATTTACAGCCAATGATCTTATGTTTCGTGATGTTCCGGAGCAAGGATCGTCTCCATCGCGAACTCTGCCGTATGTTGTGCTGCATTAAGAAGAAACGTATCGATTTCATTCCAAAGGCAGTGGATGGTCGTGTTCTTGTGATACCGGTCAAAGATGAACGACGTCTTTACTTCGACATGTACGACCGATATTGGCGATGAACGCGCAGATCAGTGGAAATATGGCCTGAAACCTGACCAAGAACCTATTGTCCTAATCGATTGAGGATCGATTCGACCTGGACCTGAGTGCAGGTCGAAATTAGGATTAGGACAATTAGGACAATAGGTTTCACACACACACACATCTTTCGGCTTCTACCCAATTCTTTTCGAAATGTATATTATGCTCCCGTGTTATGCCGCGATTATGTGAATCGTGTTGTGTACAAATCTGCTTTCTTCTATTGTGAATATTTGTGTAGATTTTGATGATCTGATCTCAGTGAACATTCACAAATGATAATTTCGAATAATTCTGTGAATGGCATTTGATTTCGTTCGTTTTCACAAAAATCGTTCAAGTTTTGCTCCATTACACTATCATTATTTCCTTCATTGTTTCAGTATTCCGTACCTCTCAACCTAGAAAACCTTCTTCTGTAACTCTTCTCCTTTCTGTTTGCCTTGTTGGGCGAATTTGCGAGCGAATGGATGAATTTCTATCTTCCTACATTCACATTCTTCCGAATTTGATCTCTTATCTTTCGAAAGTTCTCCATCTCTATAAGTTTGCGTTATTCTCGTGAATTTCGGGTCCAAGCTTGATTGTGGCCTACTTGATTGTTTTCGATTATGATTTCTAGTTTTCACGATAAATGCAGTTTCATATTACGAATTCCTCAAAAATAATGTGAAAAACAAAAAAATTGGCAAAGAATCGGTCAACTTAGAATTAGTTCACAAGTTTAAAAAAAACTCGTTCTAAGTGCTAATGAATGCACTCAACAAACGGTTCGAGAGTGTGTTATGAAAAAGAATATCTTTTATTACCTGGAACATATGTCACGTAACAGCAGCGCAATGATGTTCAATCAAATCATGTTCTCTGAGCAATAATACTCGTCGCAAAACAATAACAAGTTTCTCCGAATAGTTTCCATAGAGATTGAATGTTT